TGAGGTCTGAAGTTACTCAATGTTGCTACCTATTCTGCCCCAAAACAATGGGTGATATGAAAAGGGAAATGGGCTCCGTTTTGCATGAAACGTCGCGGAATTAAGTGGTGCTGAAACGTAAAGCGATAAAGGCACATATGGACTGCCTTGGGCGGATAATACCAAGGCAGGTTATTCAGCAATCTTATAAGAACTAGTCCCGTATTCATTTAGCGATGCACCATGGTGCACCAGCTTCTTCAAAAATTTGGCTACTTTGCTAGATCCTGACCGTAATATTGTGCACATGGGCAATTTCTAGTGTGGCTAATTCATGCGATCGTACCGGGCTTAGTCGCGATGACAAGAGTGCTGGAGCACGTCGGTGCTTCTGACTTGTTGGCAAACTTGCCGTAGGCAGGCTTGATTTCAGGAAAGCAATCGCGGTAATGCTACTTATAAAGCATATTATTACAGCGAAAGAACAAGTTGTCGGGAATTGCGAATAGCGTAACGAGTGGGTTGTCCAATGCTCCAACCCATTACAAAAGCTTGTTCTTGTTCACCTATTAACTGTGGTCATACCCACATCAGGCATAATTCCTCATCGTGGTCACCCACTGCATGAACGATTGGCATGAAATTCATTGAAAGTGTTTAGCGGATACCATGCTTCTGAGAAGAATGACGAGAAATATTATAGCGATTGCCAGCCTACTAACCAAAAATTTATTATTAATGCCGTAATGCCGTAGTTGGTGTAGAGCAAGTGTGCTTGCAGCAGTTAGCCAAAAAGGCTGCTCTTTCAGCTTTCGCTGTGACTGTGCTGCGCCTTCCACGCAAGCCGGGCGTTTTTTTTTTCCTTTTGATGATGGACTTCTACGAAAGGTTCTGATGTTTGAAGTTTGAGTTTGATTGTAACATCATGAAAATACAAGTAACATGGTTAATAAATATTACAGGAGGATGCCCTTAAGAGACACTGTCAGAGGGACCTTCCTAAATATATTTTATTGATTTAGTACAAGGCAGACAAGTGGCGATAAAAAAGCATATTGGAAATACTTGGAAGAATAAATAAACTATAAAAAATAATAAAGAACTTTTGAACCTGTTTTAAAAACAAAATATATGCGAACAGTACAGAATGCTAAAGAATGATGCATAATAAAACGATTCTACGTGAATTGTATGTTGGAAAGGCAAAAACAAAATTCACAGCTCAAAAAGAGTGGAAAACAAAATAGCAGTTGCTATAAAAATGGTCAAAAACTAAAAGGAGAAAGCGTCAATGTGAAGGCGAAACTATGATTTGTTAGAAAAGGTATTTGATTTCTTCAGCATGCGTTGTTATTATTTCAGTGAAAGTATATTTTCAAAACGACATTTATTCAGGATGGGCAACGGCCGTCGTGAGCGAGGAAGCCCACCAGCCTCGAGGTGAGTCCCTGCCTGGAACGGCACTAAGCGACTTTCATGAGCACGCTGCCCTCACGCCGTTTTGGGCATGCTTTGTTATTTACTTTACATGAACCCATCTCATATCTTCCACGTAACGTAGCAGGACTACAGTAGTGCTACATCTATGGGGACAGACGGCTTTCCGTGGGGGCGAATGGCTTTAAAGGGGTAGCGACACCTTTGTTCGGAAGTGTGTTCATATTGCCACAAAAATGTCTTGTATACACAGAGAGTTATGAGCAAGTGCGTACCTCAGCGAATGCTGATAGGACATTTTATTTTTATAATAAAGCGAACCCTCCAACATCAACACTAGCTTGACGTCACACTGGAGTACTAGTTCTGGTGACCTCACACAGCATTCTGGCTAGTTGTAATGGCGTCATGCATCAAAACTTCCAAACTGCTGCTTGTGCGATGTGAATAGAGTCCAATTCGCAGCGGTCGTGGAAACGTCACGATGTCTTACGCGAGCACGTGACGTGGATGTCATACCCCTTTGTGACGTAGGGTACAGGAGCAACCGAAAATTAGAAGGAGAAGAAAAGTGGTGATGACTCCAAGTTCTCCTCTATCTGTCAGACTATCCTGCTTCGCCATCACGTCTCCACGGTTTCGCCTTTACTGGTTCATCTGCATTGTAAAGGGATACTGAGACAAATGTGTTGGCCTCGCGTTTCTTTCTGTTCCAGTGTGTTCCTTGGGGCCTGTTAGTGATAACACGACACAACAATTTCTGCAGCGCGTCATCGATAATTAATTACACGCTCGTTAATACCGACCAGTGTAAATTTCGGTGTCCAAAACGACAAGGTACAAGGTGCAGCTATCACCGCCTAGCGGGTGCTACGCTCGACTATGTCCGCATACTGAAGTGTGATGCTCTTCCGCGTGCTTCACACCAAGAATTTTTTTGGACCAATACACATGCCAGCAATATCATCAAACACAACACTCGTGCGCCGCAGCTACGAATAAATGAGCAGCCGCTGCGTGATAATCTGCTGGAAGAAAACGCGACCAAAAAAATGGTGGCTATAAGGCCATTTCAACTTGCTGTCGCGGGTCACGTGAGAGATGTAGGAGGTCCACAAGTGTCCCTTTGAGGGGGTCAATAGCGTGATGTAGTCGATCACTCACTAAATTTCAGAAATAATTTAAAATTCCCTCGAAGCTACATTCGTTGTCGATATTTCGTAGACGGTGTACGCGTGTTCACAAGGAATTGATTACGCAGGCCATCTCGGCCACAAAATTTTGTGACAGTACTCCATTAAACAACCGGACTCGGAAAAAACTACAATTTTCGCAAAATTGACATATTGTACTCGTAAGGCTATGTCATAGGGTTTAGCATAGAGTTTTTTCTCCAACATTTACTAAAAGGAACTTTGGTACTACTATCTCTGGAAGATGCAACGCATGGCACTTCAGCCGGTGTAGGAATTATGAGTAGTACACGACCTTGTTTATACATCGTCCGTATGTCTCTGTTTGGCTCCGTGCGGCCAGCATCAGCTTTGTCCCAACACGATTTTGAGCAAACGTTGAGCAGTTTTATTTCGCCACTTTAACTCTTCAGGAGGTCCAGTGCGCAATAACTTGTTTCTACTCTTCGGCCCAGCTCCTCACCTTTGCGAATTTTCAAGAGAGCCCGCGCGTATTAGTGGCCGAGACAGGTGATACACTGTCCCTTTAGCAATCGCAGTCACGCTTACTCAGACAGGATGTTTTATATGGACGGAATTACGAGAACTTACACACAATATTGCCAATGAGGATATCAAGGGCGTAGTAGTATTGAAACTGGGCAAGTTGGTAATGATGCATAGCTGGTTGATGTAAACATCACTAAACCAAAGACAGAGCAAAGGAAACGCACAAGACCAGCCGCAGTGCTCGGCTTGTGTCCTTCCTTTTCTCTGTCTTCGTTTTTCACGCTGTTTACTTCGATAAAGGGTGTCATTTGTACCAAGTGTACACGTGACATATGTGTGGAGAAAGTAAAGCGGATGAAAAGAAATTTCGCGATTGGCAGAGACCGAAACTGCTACTTTCAAATTCGGAGGTCGCAAGTCCCTGGGAGCAACAAGCTGTCTTTTCGTCCACTTTACTTGCTTGACGTTTATATTACACTTGCTACAAAGAACACCCCGTAAGCGTCCTCTGGCAATAATGTCACAAAATAATTTTAATAATGTGTCCAAGAAAAAGAAAAGAGGCCTTAATGCGCTCTTTCATTCATTTAAATATAGGCTGATTGTAGGTGGAGATTCCTTGCCTTTGTATCTGTGGTGCGATAAATATGTGTTTTGTGGGTGCGCATGTGATGCCGTATCAGTGATTCAGTGCCTGCTGTCACTTGCCGAATATGATAGTAACGGCGATGGAAATTATCAACTTAAGGACATATAAAGCGACCTGACGGGATGCATAACCGGCAATTTCCTGGGCCTCGAGTTGCGTTCTTCATGCACAGGGGTCTTGCTTTGCTCCGACTGACAATTTGTGACGGCAAAACATGTTGCCACTATGTTAAGTCAGTTCTGCCACTTGCCGCAGGTTTTGTGGACCTTGCTTGTTCGCGGGGAGGAAATTCCATCTGCAGAATGTTGTGCAGGAAAAGCCACCCTGAACGCACAGGCTACTGCGAGAACCACTCCCGCTGCGTGTGCAAAACACCCCCGTCCGGCCACAGTTCATGATGGGCTGAAGGTGCTCGACTATACGTGCCAAAAGGGCGTCTTTCAATAAAATGAGGCCCTCTCTAGCCTTGTCCTGTCTCGCTGGTGATCTTTAAAGAGTCTGTAAGCTTCGATGGAGTGCTGTGCGTCATGGTTAGTATCTTGAGGCAAGGGGGAATCCAGTTAAAACTGGAGTGCCGGGAGTGGTGTGTGTACTGACCCTTTTCTATTTAGCAGTTACTATCATAGAGGGATCCCCATCACAGCAAAAATACTGTTCAATATGTTCACAGTGGTCCGCACATACATCCCAATCTGCAATAGAAGGTGGAAAGAAGCGGGGAAGGTTGACATAAGCTTCGGGAAAAAGGCGATTGCCCCACTCTTGATATACCACTGCCTTCAGCTAATAGGGCATCCCTGTACAATCTCTCAGTCTAGTAAGTTATGTTCTATCAGGAGAGCTGTTCAAGCTTTTTGTAGCGCCAGTAGCGAAAACAGCCCCGCCGCACTGCTCTATAGTTGTTAAGGTTTTCCGCTGCTTACCCGCAGGTCACGGAATCGAATTCCGGCTACGGCGGCTGCATTTTCGATGGAGGCGAAAATGCTGTTGGCCTATGTGCTCAAATTTAGGTGCACGTCAAAAAACACCAGGTGGTCGAAGTTTTGGGAGCCCTCCACTACGGCGTGCGTGTCTCATCGTGGTTTTGAGACGTGCAAACCCACATATCACTCAACCAACAGCAGTGTAAACAGAAACGTCGATTGTCATGAACCAGCACGCTCTCTGTATGTCTTCCTCCTCATGTTCTGCTTTGCTCCCACAACGCATGCACTGATTTGTCCAGCTTGTGGTGCTACAAATTAGATTTAACAGTCTTTGTGCGACATATTCCTGCTCGATTCACGTACACTGATCATATAATATATTGCCAACAGAATCGAAAGTTGGGCTAGTTGTATATGCATGGTATAACTGTTATATTGCCGCCAATGTTACTTAGGACTAGTGATGTTACATGCCCCCGCTAAGCTTACCTAACGCTAGTCATGTAACCCTAAGTCCCACCATACTTGTCACAGGATACGTTTCTGCCGAATTTACAATTTAGATGTGGCGTAGAGTCACGTTAGACATTGACGCGATCCGTTCTTGCCAAAATCACATAATACTAGTCACGAAGCTTGCTCCCTCTAAATTCTTAGTAAATCAACGCAAAAAGATAGACACGAAAAGAAGAAAAAGATCACAGCATATCCACGGCGTGAATGATGATGAGTAAGGCGAAGCGTTCGTTCGTGCGTCCATGCTTCCGTCCATCCACGCGTCCATCCACTGTCAGTCTGTGTCCGTCCGTCCGTTAGTTCATATCTCTGCCTGTCTGTCCACCCGTGCGTATGTCTGTCTGTCTGTCACTTACACAAGTGCCACCTTCTGAGTGAGTCATAAAACTAGGTGGTTACAAACCGGTCACAGACATTCGTGGATATCTCCATGGCTTCAAGAGCTTCACCCTTAAAGCAAAGGACAGGCGCTGAACTTACAAGTGTTGGGTTGACTGTGTAAAATGAAATGCATACATGTAGTCTGACTGCGCGCGCACCATTACAACAGCAACTCGTAACGTTTTCAGAGCAGGTGAAGTCCACAGTAACGAAGGCAGATACAATGGGCGGAAGTGCAGAGATCAAGGGCGCTATGCAGGATCGCCTGAGTTTCGCGAAACTCGGCATCTTTCCGAGCTCTGGCCCCTTAAGAACAAGCCAACAGTACCAAAAAGTCAAGTCAACCCCTCAGCGCGCTGCGTTTCATTGATTATATACCATGAAACCAGTCATTGCGTCAAGGACGATCAACTAAGTTGGGCGGTGTTTTCAAACCAGGGCCATCTTCTCTCATTTTTTTGTCCTTCCACTGAGTGAATAAGTGCACACATGCAATAAAAGTGTCAGAAACAGTTCCTGGTGATATTTTTTCGAAGAGCGGGGTGTTTAAAAAAATTTGAAGCATTTATTCCCTGCACTAAGTCTGTCTCGGAATAATCAACGAGGTGGCCTCCGAGATAGGTACCGGCCGAGCGTTTTACAACATTGCGACCACAGCTAAACGCGAGGCCACCTGTTAATCATCACGATCAGCCTGTACATTCCAGCGCGCTGCTCGGCTGGTGTGCATCTTGTTTGTTGTCATCGCCCGCTAGCACCCAAGCACATGCGGCGGGTAAATGAGCTGTTATGGGCGAAGCTCCTACAGCCGTGGCTCTGTCTCTCCTAACTCATGGGACGCGACCACCTAGTTAAAGACTCATCAAGCAGCTGTAGATGGATGGACAAGAGGACGGATGGACAGACAAATAAACAGACGGCCGGACGGACAGAGGGACGGACGGACGGACAGACGGACAGAGAGGCAGACAGACAGACAATCGATTCACAGTTCATATAGTTAACCCTCCGAACATTCGCCGCACCTATCATTATTCACTTCGTGGATATGCTGTTCTTTTTCGGAAGGACGGTATTTCGGATGGTTGGTAGATAGGTAAGGACATGCTATGACAAAGCTAATTACGCCAAGTCCTGGTAAGGCTGAGGTAATTAAGCCACATCTTGAAAAGACCGTGTAATGAAGCCGTTTAAAGCTAGAACCGGGCTAACTAAAGCATGCAAGCTGAGGAGCTAACTAAAATATGCTAAATAAGACGACGTTGATCATGAGCAGGCTAAGTAAATCCATGCTAATCAGCCTTTTCTGATATTGTCACGGGGTCGTGACGTGGCCGAAGACAGGATACTTTGTGTTGGGATTTAACAGTTTATTTGAGCGAACCTGTGCCCGGCGAACGGAAACTCCGATTACAGTAGACGTTTTGCACAGATTGCAGTGAACGGAGCGTCGGCCGAGGATCAACTACTGTCAAGCGGTGAAGTGCGTCGGCATTCATACTCTTGCCATCAAATGTTCTAGCGTTATCGCTAGTGGTGGCGCAGGTTTCGGAATAATCTGTACAGTTTGCAGCGTGGGCGTGATCTTATCGAAACGATCTACTAAAGTCCGGAAGCTTTTCGAAAACTGCACGCGCGTTTTGCGCTGAGAATTGTGTAGTGTTTTGCGGCGATAACAAAGCTTGAGAAATGGAACGTGGCAATATGATGAGATTTAGTATTCTGCTAATCAGAGTTACGTTTAATAGTGGCCACGGTAATTGCTCTCGAGAAAATGGCCTTTTAATTATGCCTAATCAATGAAGGCAAGACAGCTTAGTGTAATGAACATTAGGTCTCAGCCAATTAGTACAATAAAATTGAGACAGAGCAAATGTGGTCTTCTCTTCGTAACCGACAACGCACCTGAGGAGACGACTAACTTAAAAACCTGCAAGAAGCAAGGTTATCACAAACTCCTCTGTGGCTTCAGCCTTGCAGAAGTAGTGTAAGCTCGCCATTTATTTTGTATGTAAAGAAGCTTCTGCTTAGCATTCACCGCATCAAACGCTTGACAGTCACACCAGCACCATCACAGTCACGAGTTAAACTAGAGGCTCCTCGGAATAAATGAGCTTGCATCCGAGTTCCCGCCTCCATCAGTTTGATTGACAGAAGCCCGTGGCGAAGATCGGGCACGCCCACCATGTTTGCTCATGCCGAGGAGCAGTATTTACGTCTAGCGGCACGATTAATCTATCAGCTTTATCACGCAGGCTATGCACACACGCACGCAGAGGTAAAAGTTATATCACCACGCGGCTACAATGTTTTGTATTAAATTTCAGCGCGCTCACGACTTGGCCATTCAGAGCCGCGTTGCCACCTATTGCCACCACAATGCGAGCGCCCCTGGTGACCACCTGTCCCTGTATTTATCTTTAATACTTGATAGAAGCAAAACGAGCGACACAAAAGTGCGGCGTGTACACCCTCCTTGCCTTCAAGAGTGGAAATTTCTATGCTGCAGGTGGAACGAAAGAACCTGTGCGAAAGAGGACATACGCCCACGTCTGTGGGAGGCACGTGTTAAGTTGGCAAAATGAGCGCACGACAGTCCCGCTGACGTCGCTGCACTTCTAAAATGTTCAGTGAGTGGCGGCGCTTGCACGCGGTGTTTTAAGTGTGAATACACTTTACAAGCGACCCCAAACCATCCACCGCCGTCGGCGGCGTCCGCAGTCTTCTCTCTATCTTTAAAAGAAAGAGGACTTGGTGGGCTGCAGCGCGACGCTCTACCGAATAAGCCACGGACGCGACGCTGATATCGGTGCCAGTAACGCGCCTTATACCCCCTCCCCCTTCGCTCGCTCCTCCACTCTCCTCGCTCGCTGCAGCTGCGCGCGCACCCCTCTCTGTCGCGCGCCCGCCTTCTCTCTCAGTCTCCCGTCGAGAGCGGGTCGTGCGATGGATGTCCCGGAGGCAACGCTACCATCAACAACGAATGCAGTACAACCGAATGCCAGCACTGCACCCGTCGTTAGAGGTGACGGTACCGCGGTGGTTTCGCCGACGTTGGAAGACAAGGCGTCGCTGCGAAGGTCTCGTGAGACCAAACGTAAGCGGGCGAAGCGTGCAGCGGATGCCGAACTGCGTGCTCGCGAGGCCGAGTGCAAGCGGGCGAAGCGTGCAGCGGATGCCAAACTGCGCGCTCGCGAGGCCGAGGACAAGAGGGCGAAGCGTGCAGCGGATGGTGAACTGCGCGCTCGCGAGGCCGAGATGAGGCGTCAGCATCGAGCCGCGAACGTGGCCCAAGAAGCGGAACGACAACGCAAGCGTCAGGCGGAGAAGGGCGATGAAGGCCGGCGTCAAGACGCCGCTCGCAATCGTCAATGGCGAGTGGACGTTCCCGAAGCCGTTCCAGCCAGTGAACGTGCCTCGCGGGAGAGGGTGCGAGCCCTGGACTTTGCTCGTCCGGACGCGACGTGAAGTGTAAATAGATAATACTTCGTATATAATGTATCTGTGTACAAATGCTTCATGACAAACAACACTTAAATTCATTATTTACACTTTATTCATCATCATCAGTAATAAAACTCTCAAGCATTTCCCCGAGGGTGAACACGGTTAAGTGAAAATGCACGGGGTGATGCTATGAGG